GGTTTTCGATCATTTAATAATCGAGAATTAGCTCAACGATTTCCACAATTACGATCATTAAAAATATTTTCACGTTCAATTCAACATATCACTAAGCGAATGTTTGAACATTTAAATCAATTGGAATATTTAATGTTGGATGGTATAACAACAATCGAAAATGAAGCTTTTTTTAATTTATATCATTTAAAAGAATTAAATCTCGGTCGAAATATTCTTCGTCTTGATCCATATGCTTTTTTACATATGAATACAGATTTACTTTTATTAAATGAAAGTATTGATTTTCAATTAAATGATGAAAAACATTTTTGTGTTTTTGCTCAATTTTCTCCGTCAACTAATTTAAAAACATTTGTAAAATTTCCAAAAAATTTACATACATGTTCATGTGCTACACGCTATCTATATCGACATATAGATAAATCATTTATGTCAATGACACCAAATTGTTATTCAAATTCAAGTTTATATATTTTAGCACAAGAAGAACGCTTATGTTATTTTGAGCAACGCTTGCTTCAATGTCATGTTTTACCAGAAGAAGGTATTACTATTTATGGTAAACATTATAATGTTTCATATTTTTATCAACAGCAAGTAGCAAAACAACGTAATCAATTTACGATATTTTATCGTTATAAATTCTATTTTCTTATATTATTACCTGTGTTAATTATTAGTATATGTTTAATTGTATTTATAATACGACACCAAAAACGACATAATGGCAGTACATATAAACATTTAAATCGTTTAATAAAACGGCAAAGTTTAACAAGAAATGATAATGTGACAATGGATATAATTTATCATCGTACAAATGGTCATCAAGATCTTAGATCATCAACAATACCTATTTCAACAAAAGTTTAAAATGTCAGATTAGTAAAAAAAAAAAGAAATTTATTCAGGGCATTGAACTATTTTTTATTATATATCTAAGTTAATTCCAAAATAGAAAAAAAAGTACATTATAGATTATTTTCTTTTGATTTGTCGTCTTTTTTAATTTAAATAAAATTAGAGCCATTAGTTGGGATTGCCAAAACGACGTGAAGGTCGTTGATCGGAATTAGGAAAATTACGATTACCAGCTGTTGGTGTCACACTTCGACGACCACTTAAATTTGCAGCTGTTGCTGCACGACTATTTGGTGATCGATATCGAGGATTAAAAGGTTGAAATGTTGATGCTGTTACACGAGTTGCACCACCAGCAAAAAATGGAGAAGTTGATGGAGGTGGTACTGTTCTTAAGTAATAATATTACAAATAAGAAAAAGCAAAAATTTTAATTGATTCTAAGATATTTATATTTACAAGGGATCTCGACAGCATGATATATTACTTTTGATGCAATTCCAATCTCCAGTTCCACTTCGTAGAAGATTAGTACCTTCTTAAAAAAAGAAAAGATAATTAGTATTATTTTTCATAATATTTAAAAAAATAGATGTTACCTTTACTTAGTTTAAATGCATCTACAAGATATTCAAAATGTTTCATTTTAGCTCGAAGTAATGATAATTCTTCAGATTGTTCATTTAAAACATAATTTTGATGATCAAGTGTTTCCATACATTGTTCTAACATCTATAAAATGATTTCAATTGATATGAAATGAAAAAGAAAACGAAAGAAAAAAGAAGAAGAATATCTATACAAATTGGTATTGTAAAACTTGTTCTTGTACATCCATCTGACCTTGTAATAATTGCGTACCCATTTGTGTGAGATTCATTGTCTAAATAACAAAATAAAATATATTTTAACTTACTAAAAAGTTTTAGTAAAATGTTTGTCTTCTTACAGCAGTTCTTCGGTCGTCGTTTTCACCTTCAAGTTGCGCTAATCGTCGTTGATAAGCTTCAAATTGAGCATTTAATGCTTGAGTTTGTGCCTGTTAAGTTTTTTTTCAAACAACTTAATCATTATCTATTTTTATAAACTACATACTGCATTGGCTGCCATTTGATTATATGGCGGTGAAGTATTAAGTCCAGTATAATTAGTCGGAGTTATACCACTGCGTTGACCAAACGGCTGTTGAATTGAAGGAAAAGGTGTAGACGGTGGCTGTGGAACAGGTGGTGGTCGATTACCAAACGCTGTTGCTGTATTAAATGGTAAACTTGAATTGGCTACAGTTGGTAAACCTGATGGACTACCACCAAGAGGCACTGGTCCTGACGATGCACCGGCAGTTCGAGGCCATACATCATAAGCTGCTGTTGACGGATATGGTCCTGACATTATACTTTTTCGCCTGAAAAACGCCTACGAAGAGTCGTAATGAATAGAAACATTCGTTTTTGTCTTGCCTTGAAAGGTAAGAGAAATGTGTGCGCTCAGGTGTGTCGATTAAACGTTATATACGTGATGATAAAATATCTACTCGCATACTATGACTCATTATACAAGCGTGATATTGCTATATTATATATATATACATACATATATACGTACATGTATGCATTTATTGATCATCACGTTCGATTGAAGTATACTTTACCTTAGTTATGGCTGATGAATTCGATCCATTAAAACAAACAGCGGATAAACCAGCTGAGAAGTTATATAGTAAAAAAATTATTTTCTTTAATAAATTATTAATGTTTTTTTATGCAATCAAATAGCAACAATACAAAAGAATACAGAAAATACGGATGATGATCTTCTTCGTCCTCAAGTTGAAAGTATCGCAAAAACAGGACATCATCAAACAAATACATCTACTGAACAAAAATCACAAGAAAACGTGTATCAGAAACTTGATCATACACAAAATGCACCGAAAGCTCCGATTCGATCAACCAATCCGTTTGAAGAAGATGCTAAAAAAGCATCACCTGCATTTCATGCTACTCAACAGCTTCCGCAAGAACAAACAAGAACAACAGTATCTGAACCACGAAGAGAACCACGTTGGCAAGATAGTCAAGGTTATTATGGTAAGTTTTTTCATACATCAGTGATCGTTCCTTAGAAGTCATCCATAAAAAACGTCGAGACAAAGGGGTAGGCATCAAAATCAGATAAAGAAAAGGATAAAGAGTTCAAATATTTCAGAATGTTTAGACACTTTCTATGCAGTTTTCCATTTTCCATACAACTTTCAACGAAATTTTTTAGAACTAGTTTGTTTTAATGACCATGTTTAGATAGGAAATGAATGAAGTATGAATTAGTTGAAAATATAATATGACCTTGAAAGGATTGAAGATTATATTACATGAGCTGATTGCTATTTTGTGGAGCGATTATCTAAAATTTTCGAGTATTATTAGTATTGAACTTCATTTTCTAGTTTTTACAATTTCCAGCTCGTTAAAAACTAATGAATTTACAAAACAAAAAATTTTGCATAGATTTTTTTTTTTATTGTTTATGAAATATGTGTTTATTCATTTTTATTTTATATGTATGTATTTAAGGCACTGTTATTTAATCAAAAAAAACAAGCAATATATTTGAAAAAGCAGGCTTTTTCTAAAAGTTGTTTTTATGCTGAACATTAGAGCCTGTCGCATCAGTCATGAACCGAATTGAGTTCGAGTTTGAAATTTTTCTGTTAACTGCATGGGAAAATTTCGGACACAATAAACTCTAATCATTTGAGATATGTGTTGAGTGCGCTGATTGTCAAATACAACAAACTAGAAAACATTATATCGTATCTTCGTGGTGACTAAACAAGTCTGATTGAAAAAGTTCATTGATAGTATCAAAGTACAGCTTGACCGAGCCCGGGTTTGAGAAAGTTTGATTAGCCAGCTCCGGCTCCGATTCACAACAATGTTCAATATACCGGATCGAGATCTGAAAGTTTTGGACCTGACGGATTTTATTAGACGTTCAAGGAGGGAACGGGTTAATGAAAGCTGAACATATCTAAATAGGAGAAGGCATGGTCGAAAATGTAATTTTTAGCTGAATGTCCTTTTGTGGATGGTCCTTTTTTTCTTCCTATTTACTTTTAATAGATCAAGATTACGACACAACACAAGCACAAAGCAGTTATGCTAATGAATATTACGAAGATTCATCATTACATAAAAAGAAAGGATTTTTTGTTAGTAACTTTTTTTTAACTATTCATATTAACAAATAGACAACATATTTAGGCAGTAATGGATCGTCTTGTTCAACGTTTTCCAACTTTAAGTATTTTCTATAAACCATCAACATGTGATTCATCGGAAGTTCATGGAGGTCAATACGAAGATGAGTATGTTGAAGAAGTCGAAAGTGATGAAGCACCACAATTAGTGGATGCAAATCAATTACCACGTGAATTAACAGCTGATGAATTAGCTTTAAATGAACGTTATTCGAATAAACTACGTACGCAAATAATAGATCTTCAAGTGAAAGATCATCGACAACCAATTGATGTATGTATTCATCATGAAAGTTATACATTATATTCATGTGATGTTGGTCGAAGTATTGTGGAAATATTTGATATGTACGGAAAACTTCAACATACTATTAATGATCAAGCAATGACTAAATTTCAACCAACAGCTATTGCTGTTGCATATGATGGTACAGTAATACTTGCAAGTCATTTTCATCATTGTCTTTATATGTATTCACCTACTGGTTTACAAGAGACTGAAGATGCTGCACAAAATGAAACTTTATATGATGGCTATCATTTTAAACAATATAAATTAGGTTCACCTGGTCATGATCTACATCAATTTCATCATCCAGCTGGTATTGCTATTGATTATAATGATGGCTATTTATATATTTGTGATCGAGGAAATTTTCGAATACAAGTTATGCGACCAGAAGGAGTATGCGAACGAGTTATTGACTTAATAGTTTGTAATCAAGAAGAAGAAGAATATCAAATAAATCCTATACAAATAGCTCATCAACAAAGTACGGAACAAATTGTTTGTATTGTTGATCAGGGTAATGCTTTATGTTTTATTCCAAAAGATGCTGATGGGTAAAAAGATAGCTTGCTACTTGCCAATTAAACATATATGTTTATTTATTTATTTATTTATATAGACCAACATATGTTGAACCATTCTACATTCTTGATAGTAATGGATTAGGTCTTGAAGGTGCTTCTGGTATTGCTGTAGATTCTAATGATCGAATTTTCATATCGGACACAGGTCATCATCGTATTGTGATTTGTACACCTGAAGGTGGTTATATAACACATTTTGGTGTAGAAGGTACTGGACCAGGTGAATTAAAACGTCCATGTGGTTTAGATATAACAGTTGATGGAACGGTTATCGTTGCTGATAGTGGAAATAAACGATTACAATTTTTTGGTTCAATACGTGAACAAACAATTGAAGAAAATCAATCTTCAATAAAAAAATCGGATGATAAATATAGTTCATGAAACAATACAAAAAATACTAAAATATAAAACAATTTTATTTATAAACTCTTCTCGTTCTTTTTTCTTTTCAAAATATTTATTTATGAATTTTTATAAAGTCGAGTGTTCATCATTGATATTGTGATTAACACTTAAATCATTTTAAATTCTTCATTAGGTATTATTTAATTCTATCTGATAATAATGATCATTTTGTAATCAACTTATTATAATTGATCAAGCATATTAAATGCAATTGCGTAGCTAGAAAATATATATTACCTAATTTATGGAAAAATAAATCATACATTTTAATGCACATTAACTAATAAGTATTTTTATAGGTTGTATCTTATCATAATAAATACTCATGTAATGAACATTAATTATTCTTCTCTGATTGATCTATTGGTTGATAAGGAATTATTTATATAAGAATGGATGTTTGAAAATTAATTTGACAAAATGCTCATTCATTTTTTAGCTTGGTAAAGGAGTTTGCAGAAACTTGAAAACATTAGGTTACAATTAAAATTTTATATTGCTTCTAAATATAAGTTCAAAATTTTTGTAGAACTTCTGATTTAGAAGTTATGAACCAATGTTATCGAGGTGCGAAAACCAAGTTTGGACAAAGGAAATTGGCATTTGTTACAGCACTAGTTTCCTCTACTAGGTGTAGACGAGGAGACGATCTAACGCTTGCCATCATTGTTATGAGATAAATAATGTGAAACGAATGCTCGAAAACTTTGATGATCAAAACTGCCGTCACCATAAAATTGTGATTTCAAAAAATAATGATTAACAAATAATGCATGCTTTTCTCTGAGCTTCGCTTTCTCCTTATTTCAAGTACCACAATATGTCAATGTTCAAGATGGGTTCCTTTTAAAATTTATGTTTTACATTTATATTCAATTCACATAATTCATTTTCTTGTTGTTTAATAGACAATATATTCAAGAACTTCAAATTTTTCACTATTCAGTTTTAATTCTATTTGAATTTAACATGATTTCACTACTTGTACGTAAGAAAATGAATAATTTTTTCTTAAAAACATTTCAAAAATATTTAATTAAAATTTGTTTTTATCATTAACAGTTAGAATAGCTTCTTCTAAAATAAAATACATATCTTTATGATGACCTATCAGCAATGTATTCCAATTCTAAATCAAGATGATCTACTCATTCATTTGGCCTATTCTATACTTGAGTCATACAATGGATCGTATGAGTTGTATGAAAAGTATAAAAACAACATCAATGTGAAAATTTTTTCAAATGTTACATGCATAACTTAATCATCAGAACGAAGAAATGCATTGGAAGCTTTTCTTTTAAAGATGTGGAGTTTTTGTAAAATTTTATCATGTCTTTTTATATCAGACAACACAAAATGTGAACAATTCGAAATATCTATTTATACTTACAGTGAAACCTGTCTATTATGAACATCATGAGAACCATTAAAAGTCGTTCACTCAACGGAGTTGTGTAGTTTACAGATTTGACGTATGATTTGCTATGAAATGAAAGAACTGTTTTAGAAGATTTGATTTTGAAGTCATGTTGATGTCAATTAAGCTTGATTTTCAAGTCATTAATTGATTAATTTTATTCTTGCAAAGTAAGCTCGTGTCACGATATCATTCTTCTCTTTACAGGTAGAACATTCGAATCATATACCAAATATACATATGCATAGTTCAGTAGTAATAAGTCAAATAAAACATTGTACATTTTTTTTAGCAAACGGATGAAAAGTACTGAAATATAGATTCGATGAAATTTCATCATACATTGAAAACATATGATGATGAATAAACATTAGCGAAAGATAATCCATTTTTCTATTGTAATAACACTAATATAAGTAATTTCTTTTGTCTCTTGAATATATTAGGAAACATCAATAATTACAAATGTATTTATGCTTGTAAAACAGTTTTATTAAATAAGTATATTTACTATATGTATAACGTTCAAGATTCTATCATGCTTCCGCATTCCATTCAAGCAGATATACAAACGAAAAACTACAAAAAAACGTATTTTTTAATAAAAGTCTATCTGCTTGAGTGTTGTTGATGTCATCTATTTCTTTTTGAATACAAATACACACAAAAAACAGCGAACAATTCAAATGAAGTTTAATATATATGTTGTTTTCTGTCATGAATAAATCACCATTCTGATTTTTCTATTCAATCTTTATATTTTTCGAATAATCCGATGTAACACAAACAAATTCTGATGAAAATTTCATCAATTCTAACCATTTTCTTTTTACTTGCAGATGTTCTTGCTACAAGTCTTATTGCCTGCTTGCAGTTCCTATTATTTCTTAAGTATTACTCATACATTATGAGAATCATAGAATTTTATTCTCTTTTCTACTAATGATGTTTACTTACATTCGATACACAAATGAAAACGTATATATAGAATGCTTATATGTATATATATATATTGTTCGTTAGTCTTTTGAATAATGTAAAATTAGAGACAAAAATCTCATATATAGAATAGGCTTTTTCTGCTAAATATACAGACGAAAAAAAAAAAGCAGGCTTGCTAAAGGAGAATGTAACGAGAAAGTAAATGTTTATTTTTGGTTATCGAAAAGAATTGTGTTCTATACAAAGAATGATCACTTAATTTCGTCGTAAAGCTTCTAAACGAGCTTCTAAATCAGCATCAGCAGTTGATATCGCTTGTGCTTGTTGACCTTGACCAGGATTAGCAACACGACCTGCTAATGCACCATTTTGTGCGGCTACAATAAAAACCAATCAATCAATTATTTCTTTTTATTTTGTTATGTAGATTAACTTACTTGGAATTTGATTAGCAATATTTATATTAAGTTCATTAAGTACTTGATCAACAAGTTCATCACTAGAAAATTAATTTTGAACTAAATTAAAAAAATTTTTTGTTTTGCTATTGTCTTACGTTGCTTCTTCATCTTCATCTCCTTCAAAAGCAGCATCCATAGCATCATTCATCATTTCTTGTTTTATATTATTAGCAGTCATATTTTGTTCGAACATTTGCATCGTTTTTTGAAAATCTTGTAATGGCATCTTAATTGAAAAAAATATTCGATTAAATATTGATAAAAAGAAAAATAATAAACAAAAACTAAACCATTCGATTTAATCTTGCTAATGTTTTTGTTGTTTTAACCATGACACTAGCCATTGTCATTTGAGCATTCATTGATGATGCTTCAGATTCTAGTGTTGATAATGTGGCATCCATAGCACCTAATTTATTTATTTGATTTCGTTGACTAACAATATTTTTTGCATATGTTCGTAAAGCTTTCTACTTATTGAAGGATGTTAAACGAGATATAATTTAAAACCAATAGATATACCTGTTCGCCTTTAGCAGCTAATTTTCGAATCTCATTCTCATTTCGTGTTTTTTCATTATTTAAACGATTTTTTTCACGTTCAAGTTCACGTCTTGCTCGTCGAATAGCTCGTTTATTTTCTTGCATGATTTCTTTTGGTGTTTTTGTATGAAATAATTCTTTGAGTTTTTCCATAATGAACAATGATGATTGACGATTTAAGTTTGTTTCAAAAACTATCTATTAAGTACAGTTGTAAAGGCAATGATGGCTAAACAAATTAGTTATAAAAAGAAACAACGTCAATGAACAACAGTGTTCGAATCAATCATTGAGATAGGAAATTTTTTTATTCATGAATCATGTCAAAAGGAGACTCTTAACCAATAAGATTTTCATATATTCATTATTGTTGACCAGTTGTATTTGAATATGAATAATTAATATTCTTTGATAATATATAGCAAAGGAAATAAATATGATTGAAAGATGTCGCCAGTAAATGCACACTGTATTTGTTGGTCTTTTCAACCACTATATAGAACTATTTGTTGGTGCATTTTATCTGTTAACAGTGATTAGTAAGCCTGTATTGTACATGTTTTGTAACAATAGTTAATGGACAGACTATTCAAATAAGTGAAAGTCGTTGCATAGACAATGAAATATTTTTTAAAATTTATGGTGGACTCAACACCTTTAAAAGATCCTTTCTATGAAGTCAAGAATAAGCAGGAAGGTGGAATCCTTTTATGCCATTCAGTTGAAGCGCATTTAATGCTTCTTATTTCCAACTTACACTTTGTGCTGCATATAGATGGTAATCTTCGGAGGAGATTCGCAATTTCTGTTAAAAAAGAAATGTGTACGTAAAGAAACACACCAGTATTTATCTGCATCTAAACTCGATTCTTGAAAGAAAAGTCTTTAATTGACTTTATTGAAAAACAAAATATTGATGAAGTAGCAATGTTCACAAAAGAAAAGGAATTACGTTATGTGTTTACTCAGTTTGTGGAAAATGTGTCTTAGACATGGAAGTTTAGCTACTAAAGGTGAAGAAAATTTTCAACAGTTTGTAGTTTATCTTAGTCGAGTTCCTCGTAAAATTCTTATGCACTTGTAACAACGTATTACTACTCAAAGTCATTAGCAATTTGATGTCCAACATTCAATTATAGAAAATTGAATATTTCCTCAAGAACATCATTTTCTAGATCAGCTTTACTATACGAAAATGTTATTGTTTTCTACTGAAGACGGTGAAACATTTTGTCGTGGGTACAAGAATTTTGATGGCTTGTATAAATCTATCACTCTAACAGAATGAAAAACAAATGTTTGAGTCTATCCAAGCCTCATGACTTCGCCGTCTATAAATCTATAAGAGATGTGCAAATACTTAAACGGTGTGAGCTGCAATAGTTGACTGAAATTTAAGTTTTTTTTTGAGAACATTTTTAAATGAGAAATACAACACTTTTGTTCTCGTCATTTGTTGTGTTCATAGGTTGTTATTGTTATGTGATAGAGAAAGAAAAGGGAAAAATAGTCTTAGGCTTTTAGAATAAACTTCCTGTTTCATAGATATGAATATAGATGTCAGCTTATTTTAGAGTTTGGACGGAAAATGTTTATTTTTTCACCAAAAATGTTGCTGTATTTATAATAATTGCCGAAGTCAGACAAACTTAGAGCTTAATTTTTACAGAGAAATTCAATTGCTGTCCTATTTGTTCAGAAACTCATTCTACGTGAAGGCAAACTTCGATGTATAGATCTTCAAACAATCGATCATATGTTTCTTCATTCATATAATTGGATATTTTCTTTTTTTTTAGAAATGTGCATTGATAAGGTCAGAAGTGACAATCTTATCTAACGATATGTTTCTCGCTTCGATGTTGTTGTTTTATAAAAAGTTTTATTACACCATAGAGCAATAAAAAGATCACATTTCTATATGACGTATTAAATCATGTAAGTGCGACATTTTTTGAGGAGATTGTTAACTTAAGTTGCAATGTATGTAGAGGACGGAGAATGAAATAAATTTTGAAATCAATAAACATACATTGATTAGAAGATATTGCATGCGTCAATTCTAACTTAAGTTTTCTTCATTCTATATATGAAATGCATTATTTAGTCTTATGTAAATGGTAAATGTCAAATGACTACTTAGGGGTGTTTTTTAGATCTTCTGATATTATTCATCAAAGTTAAAATTAAAAATAGTTAACTAAACCGTTAACGTGAACAAAAGTAGAATAATCGCTGTAATCAAGAGACTCGATATCAAATACAACAATTAGCACAACTACTACAGGAATCTTATTCATAGTGCAAATCTTTGAGTTTAAATAATCTGACATATATTTCTTCAGTTTATAGTACCACTACGACAACTAATTGAAGCATGACAGCTAGTTCAGTAAGCTCATTAGTTAGTTAATGCTTGGTGTTATACTACATAATATATCCTTTTTTTTTGTTTTAGACAAGTAGTGGTAGAAGTAGATCAGCTACACTAATGTCAATGTTAAAGTAATCATATTATGATCTATATAAAAAAACGAAATATCTCAATTGCGTTTCTTTTTCTATTGGCATCTAACTTTACAGCCGATGATTGTGTTTTATTCAAAATAGATTCTTGACATGCTTGTGCAAAAGTAACAGTAAGTTGTTCTCTTGACGTAATCAATATTTCCATCATAATAACAGTACAACACATGGCCAATACTAAATTCAATGATGCTTTCACAACATTATGAACTGTAGAAAGCAAATTCAAGCGACTTAAATACTGAATAAGCGGTCGTTGGACAATCACTTTAAGTCACTGTTAGCTCATATAGAGTACAAACACAATATAAATTCTATGGAGTTAGTCAGAATACAAGTGCAGTCGCTTATAATTTACGAACAAAAACTACAACATTTGGTTCAATTAGTAAAGTTTCTGAACATTTTTAAATTAAAGAAACGTTTATTGAATTCTTTAGGAAACTAAGAGCACCTTCTTGAATGACAAGCACATAAAAAAAAGCAACTCGATTTTGTTTTTGTTTTATAAATTCTTAATCAATATGTCACTATTTATAATAATCATAATAATAATGATAATAATAAAGCACCGGCTATAAACATTTAGTAAATTATTTTTTTTCAACAGTTGCTGGTCGTAATGGAAGTCTAAAATAATGTACTGCCGTTGGTTGACGAAGAAATGTTTCCCAAGCTGATTTTTCTGCTTTTGTTGCATCTGACCATTTAACTGGTTTATTATCAAAATGTCCTCTTGCAAGATTAAGACGTACAAAACCAATCATTGCTTTTCGAAAACGTTCTTGAGACCAAATACTTATTTCAATGGATGTATTTTCTAAATTATCACGACGTACACCATCCCATCGTAATGGTATTTCCCATTTAGGTGTTGGACCTTTACGTATTGCTGGTATTTTTCGTTTAACATTATCAGGCATTAATAAACTAAATTAGATTGAATTCTAATTAAATATCAATAAAATAACTTTTCTTTTACCCTTTACAAATTGCCTCAACTTGATGTTTACCATAAAAAATAGCTTTTCCTTCAATATAATGTACTTGTAATGTTCCAATATCTTTATGTTTTGGATTTTCAATAAATGTTAATTGAAATTGTATTTCACCTGAATCGACTGTTGGTGCAATAACTGGTGTTAACTATGTTCAAAAAGAAAAATAGCAAGAAATCTCCTTCCGAAAGAAAAAGAAAAAGAAAAAAGCTCACATCATTTTTTTGCTTTTGAGCTAATAATTGGTATTCTTGTGTTTTATCTAACGTACAATTAGATAATGGAATATGTATTTCACCAAGAAAATCATTTTGTCCTAATGCTGCTTGACTCCATACTGATATCCATAAAACACGAGTTTCAAATTCTTGTTTAGTTACATGATACTATTTATAATAATAAAATATATTTTATCAAAATTTTATTATAAACACCAACAAAAGAACAATCTTACACGAAGTTTTTCTTCAAAAACTGGATCAACAGTATTCTTTTTAGTGGATGTTTTACGTTTGCTATTTTTTGAACGATCAGGTAATAAATACACTTTAACGTAACTAAATAAAGAAAAAATCAATGTGAATGAATGAAGTTACAGATTTAAAGCTAAAATATTTACGGATCCGATTCTTGAGTTTTTTTTGCTCGAGCTAAATTTTTACAATTATATATTAAAATATCTAATGCACCTGTTGTTATTGTATATGTTAATTTCAATTCAATTGTACCAGATATATCAAGACCATAACGAGCTTTTTTTTCACTTAATGTAGAATTTATACTTGATTGTGAGCCCTAAAAAACATTTTTATACAATGGATATAAGGATAAACTGTTTTGTTAGTATAGAAAAGCATTAAAAAATCTAATCAAGCATTCCTTATAAACTTACACGCATATCCATACAGGAAGTTGCACGATTGGCTAAACCCTAGAGTGTAATATTCTCAACAATTTAGGAATATTAGCATTTATGATGAAAAAATTTTCCTCGATTATTTCTTTTTTGTTTTTCTGTTTCTAATAAAAATAATTTTGTTTTCGTTATTTTTTCGACTTACCACTTTAGCTTTTTCAAATTTTCCATCAATATCATCATCGTCATCTTCATCACTATCAATTGTATCAAGATTTCCAACGCTACCAAATGTTTCTCCTATTGTCTGTTTGTTATTATTATTATTATTAAAACGATAAGAATTATTTGTTGATTGAATACTATCAGTGTTTGACTTGCGTCTTTGAATGGATTCATTTGATACGAGACTATTTGAAGATTCATGAATATTAATATTTGACTGGGACTTTGAATTAGAATCAATTGTTGGTGATAAGTTTATGCGAGAATCTGAATAAATTAAAAATAAAAAAACCTTATAATAAAAAAAAAATGAAAAAAACTAATTTATATAGATGCAAGAAAGAAAATTTTCAAATCGAGAAAAGAAAAGTTCTATTGTGTTTGATAACGCTTTTTGTCCGTTGAGCGGCGTACAGTACGTTTTCGTTCCGACTTTGTTGGTGATGATGATATATTTGATGCATCATCTTTACTTAATAATGTTATATGTAATTTCCTAAGAATATATCTTGTTATCGATAATTTAGGTGGTGGATTTTCGTTTGGTTTTGCAATAGATATTGCACTTGCTGTTTTTATTATTGATGATTCTGTTGATGAAGTTTCTTCTTTTTCGTTACGAGAACTACCATCACTCCATCGTCGACCTAATAATTCTTTATCATTTCTATACTGATTTTTATCAGTATCTTTATTTGGTGGATTAAAATTTATTTCACGTGATCGAGCCGATGCTTCAATACGCTCAAGTTCTTTTGAATAAATATTACGATTATCCTGATCACTTTCTTCTTCGTCTTCTTCTTCTTCTTCGCCAATACTTTGTAAACTATGTCTATCAGAAGTTGGTGATGATCCCGGTTGACTTATTATATCTTGTGATGATGAAGAAATATCGAATGCAGTATTTGGAAATAATGTATTATCGTCAGTTGGAATCAAATCATCATCAAAAACTTCTTCATCATTATGACAGTTTTCTAGTATATCAGTATCTAGATTGAATTTATGTGAATACCCATTTGGATCTGTAATGAATATAGCCAATGGAATATCAAAATAAGGTGCATATGATGAATGAATGTTTTGATCTTTCATGTTAGATTTTTTTTTTCGTGTAAATAAATTTTTATCCCTTGAATCTTCATCATCTAAATTACTTGAATATTGCATATTGGAACGCGGTGTTGATGTTGATGAAGCCGATGTCCAATTCGTAATGGATGAAGAATTATGTTTATTATTATTATTATCAGATGTATTTTGTCGTTGGTGAATAGGGCTTTTTTTAATCTGAAGTGAATCATCAAATGGAAATGTAGAAGAAAATGTATGTGATTTTGTTGATGATTTCTTTGGTGGAATAAAAATAGGTACTGACTTTGAAGTTTTTTTTCTGGGTTTTTTCGTTTCAAGAAAGTCAGTTTTATTACAATTTGTAAGTGTTTGATGATTCAAGGGATCATATAATATTGTAGTGTTATTTAAATTATGTCTTCGATGTCGATGAGAATTAGACATTGGTGTTGTTCTTTTTTTCAATTTTATTATTGGTTTTTCTGATTCGTCAATAATGGTTGGTAATTCATCTTTATTACTATTCTTATCAGTATAACTTGATAGACTTTCATTGGACAGATTGGAAATACTATTAGTATGTGTTGATGAGCGTGGATCAATAAATGTTTGAGAAAATTGATTATTTGTTGATTGTTGTTGATCTGATGTTTTTAATTTCCAATGTTGAGTTGTTTGAACTTCAAAAGTTTCTTTACACATATTATTTTCATTGTTATGATCAGTCAAAGTTTTATTAATATCTGAATGATGGTTTGTTGATGAATAAACTCTTGGCATTTTTATTGGTGATTGATTAGAAAGTTCTTCTTGTTGTTGATGTTCATGTGAATAAAGTTCGGTCATGATGTTTTTATATGAACAAATCAATGTTCCACATGAATATTTTGAATAAATAAGTTTATATTTCGATTACGATTTGTTTGTTTTGTACAAAATAAATAATGACGAAGTTTTCACGTGCAATATATATACAATACAAACAGTAATTGTCGTTAATTTAAATATGTTCGCTCAAGTGTAACCAATTATTCATGCAAGGGAGATAGCCATGTTAGTAATGTGTGAGTTAAAATGAATATGTTGTCATCTTTTTTTTTTTTACCAAGTATTACTGACGTCATAAAAGTTCTTTTTTTATTCTACCATATTCTTATTCGATGGACTATGCCTTGTATAATATATAGATAATGATGACGACAATTGATAAATCTTTCAAAGAATGTTCAGTTTTTTTCATTCGAATATAATTGTCTAGTAGTTAGATATATTTTCTATTTTATAACTATATGGAAAAATCTCATTCTACTTAATCATTTATGATTAATTACTTTCCATTAAATAAAATTGAAAGCGAAATGTATATAGATGACATGTGCTATGTCAATCAAGAGTTATTAAAATACCAAATAATTGTAGAGATACCTTCGCATAATAATAATAAAAATACTACGAATGTATATTAAATATAGTTTATAGACATATAATTATGTGTATGGAAAAATATGTCCAATAGAAAAAGAAACAAACGAAAAAAAAAAAATATTCCGACGCCGGGAATCGAACCCGGGCCTCCTGCGTGAAAGGCAGAAATCCTAACCACTAGACCACGTCGGATACATACTTGATTTGTTTTGTTCATTAGGTATTTTTGAAGATGTTGTATCTAAAATGTCAGATTTAGGCTTTTGCTCAGAATTTATTGATGTACGTGATGTTGACAGTTGTGACTTTGGAATACGATGTACAACATCACGTATACTTTGAATTGAACCACTAAGATGCATACGTGATGCTAAACTTTGTTTTGAACCATCTAGAAAATAGTATCGGAAAAAAATTTAAAAAAAAATGTTTTCTTTAATTTAATTTTTTCTAATTTACGTTTTTTTGGAGTAACTGGTGGCTGTAAATTTGTTTCACCTCTTTCTGATTCTGCACCCCATTCAGATGATGTAACAGATGCACAATCAAGTGGACGTCTGCCTCTGTCATTATTATTTATTTGATTACGTTCATTTTGGTTTGTTGATAATGAATGAATACTTTTTGGTGTTGATGAACTTCTTTCTCGATATTGATCATTTGTATTCATACGAATACTTGATAATGATGTACGATCTGTATAATTTGTTGATTGATCAAATAATGAATCAACATCATCCGACGAGCCACCTGTCAGAATAGTTGAAGGTGAAAATTGACGAATTCGTGGAGATATTGGTTGAGTTGGTGAAATACTAAATGGACGTTTTTGAACAGTTTTTTTAATGGAATCCAATTTTTCTTCGTCGGTTATAGTTTGAACAATCATTCGATTGACATTATTATTTGAATTATGTTGATTAAGTTGATTTTGTTGAAACGCTGAATTTATTCTATTGGATGGACTAGTAATATCTTCAGTTTCAGTATCCGAACTCGATATATGACTCAAATCTATCAAAAGCACAAAATAATCATTTTATTAGAATAGAATAATATATCAATCTCACTTGTAATGGAAATTGTGGGTGAAAGTGTTTTGCGTATAACTTCTGATGCACTTAATGAATCTTTACGAAGATTACTTCGACCAGTATATATCCATTCACCAGAATAACTCAATAGTTGCCTAAAACAATCATATTAGAATTGTTTAAAAGAATTTTCTATGGAACATATAAATGTATCCGACGTGGTCTAGTGGTTAGGATTTCTGCCTTTCACGCAGGAGGCCCGGGTTCGATTCCCGGCGTCGGAATAATCTTTTTTTTTTGTCTATTTTTCTTTTGAACCTACATCTGTTTACAACACAATTGGCATAACCATCCGTTGTCATTAACATTATACATAAGTCGACATTGTTTACAAACTTTTGCACCACATTTTGGACATGTAGCACCCGTGTTAAATATAAAACCGAATGGTGTTTGACATCGAGCACATACAGATGTTGATGTTGGTTGAGATTGTTGTTCAAGTTCATTGACTTCTTTTCTTAATTGTCTAAATTAGAAAAATATGTTTTACTATACCTACAACTTATAAATATATACGCACATAAAACGTGATAAATGTTTACTACGAAGAATTTCATCACGTCCTAAAACATTCAATATATGCTGTTTTTCATTGTCTTTTAAGTTGGAAAGATCAGGTAAATTATAAAAACTATCATCATTAAAGCTTGTATTTGTTGTTGAACGACTTGGAGAATAAGTTAGCTCAGATTTATTATTACGTGTCATCTTATTATCATTATATTTCAGTCTAAAAGTAAAAAGAGAAAAAAAAACTATATACATCTATCTGAGCAAATAGGTTTGCGATAAAAAATTCATCTATCGTGATTTTTTTTAATATGCAGCAGAAAAAAAAACTTAGTAAATATGCTTGTAAGTCTATTTATCTACAAACTTGTTCTGAAGAGACTTTCACACGTGTATGAACACGTATTAATAAAAAAAGAAAACAAAAATCTTCAAGTCAACATACATGAAACTTTTCTTTTTAGGCAGATAAAAAATTATTTAATTTGATAATTAATGTAACAAATTGTTTACTTTAAAATAAAACTAAAACTTGCACTTTATAGGGTCAACAAGTGACGATGGCATATATACATATATATATATATATATATATTTGAAATATTGATGACAAATATACATTATCCTACAAGCTACAATCGCGTATAGGAAGAGAGAAAGAGAGAGAACGGGTAGTGAAAAGAAAAAATATTTTTATGTGTTTGTGTGTATGTGTGTTCTTTCTTCTTTCTTCGGATGAAAAGAATCTGAGTATTCTTACTCAGAAACTGCTCTTCCAAATTTTGCTTGATTTTTATACTTGCATTTTTCCTTCTTCTTTCACCTACTGTCAAAATTGTTCCATTAGAAGTTTTTTATTTTGTTCATTTTGACATTTAATAAATTCTCTTCATAGTTTATCAGTTAATTATTAGCTCTTTTCATTGAAGTTTATTGTAATATTATTGAAGTAAATCAAAGATAAAATTAAATAAATGGATGTATCGGAATGACGATGAACCTACATTTATATGAGTTTGTGTAATATGGAGCAATATATATGCAGTAAATAATAAAAAGCATTCATGAGTAACATACTAATTTTTGGTTGGTTTGTATTCGTATACACACATTGATTAATATATGTATGTTATAACGACTGCGCTATAGTAAACTAGTGAACAGAACAGAGATTGCGAAGAACGAATCATCACCTGCACTGTAACATGTCAGAGAGAGAAAAAAAAAACGAAAAAAAAAATACACTCATAATTGATCAGTAAATAACGATAAAAAAAGGAAAGAACAAGTGACGTTAGTGGCAGAGAAGGACACTTCAATCTTAAATACATATAAACTCATTTTTCGTATTTATTGATCAATCAAAAATAGAAAATGTTGAACGCATGACATTTACCATATGATATTAAGAAATAAAAGACATACTTATAAAGATTAATATATAAAAAAATCAAATAGCTAAGAAAAATTATGTAAAAATTGAATAAGACATTAGCTAGTTATTTATAATTCACAAGAGGATAACTAACACAATGAGAAAAATCTATTTGAATACATTAATTGGTTCTCAAAACAATCATTATTTTACGTAATCATGCCAGCAAGGTGTTTAATTATATTTATTTTTGTCTGGTTTAGGTGTGGGTGCGAATGTTTTTCATCCGAAAATGATTTAGATAAAGAACATCGATTATTATCTTAAGCACACTGAGTCAAAATATTTACATTTTTTCTGTTTCTGTTTCTTTTTCTTTTGTGCATGTCTGATCACTAATCATTCATATGTTATGTATTTTGATTATATTAGAAGAGGAAAAGCCATTATCAAATTAACTAATATAGTATAATATAACTATGCTACAGGACCTTATTAACTAATTTATATATATATATGCCGAAAAAAAAAGAGCTTATTTCAAAGATGAACTGATTCATAACGTGTTCTCAAAGTTAATTTTATATTTATAATATGAAATATGCAAGTATGAATGTAAAAAGCAAAGTTTAATCCGATTTTGTTATCTTTTTTGTGGAGATAAAAGAACGAAGTACTTACCATTATGTTCATGTCATTTTTTGTTTTTTTTTGGGTCGCATTTCTTTATGATATAAATGATGGAGTTGCTGCATCATCATCAATGACGATCACTTCATTGCGCTAACATTTTTTTCTCTTCTAGTGCTTCTATTACAAATAATAATATTGAGCCGAACAAAATCAGTCGGTGTAGTTACACTCTTATTCGCCTCTCTTCTTCTCGTTTTTCTCTTTCTCTATTAAGCAGGCAAACAAGCATTTGGCAACTCGTTAGTACGGCAATCTACATGATGCACTTTGTCATCTATTGTGGCGCATAATCTCTAGTGGGCAGTGGGACATTTTTGGAAAAAAAACGATGATGTTAGGATGCTGTCATCAAGTAAAGATGTATATATGAGAAATTGTTTGCTTTATTAGGTCTTATTTAATAAGAATAAGAAAAACAATAAACGACAATTTCTTATGGTATCTTGTTTTTGTCTGACTGACGATGCGCATAACGAGATATTAAGAAAGACCACAATAGAAGATATAAGACATAGATAACATTTTTTCGTGTCTTAAATCATTACAATAAAAACGATGAAACTAATGAGTAGAATATTGGTTTTCTCCTTGTATAACATATATTAATAAAAAAAGATATAATGAAAAAAGAAAAGAAAATTGTTTATATTTCTATTGACATTCACTTGATCTAGTTTTTCGTTCTTTCCTTTTCTGGCTTGTCAATTATTATTAACTTTGTTGATATCTCAATTATTAGAAAGAACAAGAACTCTATCCTTTTCTTTACTATCTCTTTAAGAAATAGAAATGGTAAAAAGAACTGTGTCCTAAAGAAGAATTTTTTAGTAGTCAAGAAGTGATAAAGAATAAACAAAACGTGAATACAATAGAAGCAAAAAAATGTCTTTGATAGAATTTTACATCTATTAAATGTTTTCGTCATGTTCTTAGGCTTAATTGAACTGTGTGAAGGATTTTTTAACTATTAATTATCAGCGAAAACAAAGAAAAATAAAAAGAATGATTTAGAAGAACATTTTTTTACAATAGAAAATCAGTTGACATTTCATCGAAATTTTTTCTCTGATAAATGAATTATGATATGAAAACCACTACAAGAATTTTACGACCAGTCATCTGCAATCAAGAAAAAAGAAGAACACATATGACTACGCGATAATACTGTCTCTATATAAGCATAAATCATCATGACATTATATATATATATATGAACGTGTCAATGACTAAATCATATTCAAGCTACCACACATGAAAATTTGCTCAAGTACGCGTTAATGTTATCGCATGAAAGAATATACAAATATTTTTTT